CCCCGCGTGGTCGGCCATACTGCCAATCCAGATTCCAAAGCAGAGCAAAAGTCAATTAGCCGGAAAGTCTCCATGAAGATGTACGTGTATGCACAAGGAAAGTTTCTTAAGAGCTCAACAATCCAGAAAGAGTTCATCCAAATGGCTCATCTTTATAAACGAAGAAATTAAACCTCGGGGAGAAAAACACTGGCCATAGTAACACAGCTAAGAAATGCAGGCTAGGGTGCAGTCTCGGCACGCCATTGCCCCTGTACTGTCGGCTCAACATCCGCGCCCAAAGACCTGATGTCCAGGATCTCGGGAGATTATAAACTGAAGCCATACATCACCACCACCCCCCAAAAAAGATACTTCCTGGAAATAGAGACAGATTCAGAAAGGATTTGGGAAAATCTGTGAATGACAGAGGAGCCATAAATAGCTACTAGGACAAGCTGGTATACACCTGACCTTTAGCATTGACGTCAAGGAAGACGGCTGTAGCCTCCAACGGTGGTATCGCGGGGATGGAGTTGGCAACCAAAGACTGGGTCAGATGGCTCCTGCCCAGAACAGCAATACCCATGTGCTTATATGGCCTGGTGCAGAGTGCCCAGGACTGTGAATTAGAGGGCCAACTGGGCACCCGGCTGTATCCATTTATAGCTGTGCAGCCAGGGACTGGTCACTTACCTGCTCCAATCTCAGTCTCCATATCTGCAAATAAGAGCCAATAATGACCCACAATCCCTTTACCCAAAATCCTCAGGTGCTTCAGAAGTCAAAAGTGCTCAGCTTTTGGAAAGTGTTCTGCAGTCTACAGTGTTTAGCAACCCTACCAGAGTCTAGGGCAGCATTCTATAATCAAACACATTAATATTTTTGTAGCAAAACATATGAATATTCAAAATAAGCGGGATAAATATAGCCTCACGTCAGATCAGATTTTTGCTACTAAATGAGTTTGCCGCAAACTTGCATGGAGCCTTTTAGCCTTCAGAGCTTGCCAGACTTCATAATCACAGACAGAGGATTAAGGGCCTGTACCCTCTGAGGGAGGCCTGGGAGGGAGAGAGAGACAAAGTCATTTAAGGTGCTTTGCAAAGAAGGAAAATGCTCAAATGGGTAACAAGCCTGGCTATGGCTGCTGTTCTCTCACTATTCCACATCAGACCCTTCTCAATAAAGAGCTTGGTTTGACATCAAAGGCCCCCAGCAGAAATAAGAATGAGAATCAAGAGACCCCCCCCCCTCACAATCTCTAACCTCCTCAAAGTGACCTGGATCAACAATAACAGCCCTCTTCGTGGTCAACCACTGGAAACAGGGCAGTTGGCCATCTCACAAAGATAAAGGCAAAGGGCCAACAAGGACTTGGGCACCTCAAACATATGGCTCATGTAACCTTTGAGCTGGCCCCAGAGAAATCTCCAGAAAGAGCCAGGCCCAGAGAGCTGACGGAACCTTGCCTTGTGGCTGCTGAACAACTCCTCAGTCCTCAGATAAAAGCTCTGACTCTGGGCAGGATATACAGTGCAGCTGGTGCAGACCCCACTCACAGAACTCCTAAACACACAAAGACCAGCTTGTATGAACCTAGAAGGAGACTAAGGTGACCCCTGAGAAGTGTGCTCCCAATATGAATCACCTGTGTTGCACCTTGGATTCTTGTCACCTACACATAGAACTCTTGAGAACAATAAGGTAGACCTGGACCACCGAAGCAGTACCTCAACCATATCTAAACAGGCCTAGTGCAGAGCTGCTCCAATCTTTTGAGATAAAGACCTAGAGAGACAGAGAAGGCCTAGAGGAAGTGAGTCAAGCCTTCTGAGGCCTGAACCCACCTCTCTTAAATACTGTGGGCTCACGGGGGAAGGCCTGGGGGATTCAGCGCTTCTCGGGCCTCTGCTAAACAAACTGGCTAACCAATTAGACCACTGTTCCGACTTCATTGGGATTCCTTTTTTGGATTCCTTTTGGTAAGGAAGCCCTGCTTCATTGACCAGGCAGTGTCTTTACCCAATCTCTCCAACAATCTGACTACACCTGACGTTGCTTTTGCATCTTGTTATTGGCTGCAAGGCTCATAATACACAACTTCTTCATGCTTCTTTCTAACTAGGTGCCTGGCCAACAGGTTCACCCCTCCCTCCACACTAGACTGGGGTCATGTTGAGGCCAAAGCTACAGGTGGGACTCCACAACAAACAGCAAATTCCCCCTTGCCTCTCTTCCCAGCTCTCTGCCTTCCTCTCCATACCCTTTTTTGTTTTTAAAAGATTTATTTGATTTTTATTGGAAAGGCAGATACACAGAGAGCAGGAGAGAGAGACAGGGAAGATCTTCAGTCAGATGATTCACTCCCCAAGTGACCTCAATGGCCGATGCTACTGATCCGAAGCCAGGATCCAGGAACCTCCTCCAGGTCTCCCACGTGGGTGCAGGATCCCAAGGATCTGGGCCGTCTTTGACTGCATTCCCAGGCCACAAGCAGGGAGCTGGATGGGAAGTGGAGCTGCCGGGATTAGAACCAGTGCCCATATGGGATCCCGGCGCATGTAAGTTGAGGACTTCAGCCACTAGACCACCACGCTGGGCTCTCCATATCCTTTCGCTCTCCCAACAGAAAAAAAAAAAAAAAAAGCTAGAACAACCACTAGGGACTGAAGCTTTACCAACACTCTAGCCTACTGACTTAAAAAGCAAATAAAGTGAACCATGTAACCTATTATTTCATCACAGTCATCCACTGCTCATATTTCCAGCCCTTTTCATGGCTCCTTGGCACCAAACTCTCCCACTCAGATATGGTTTTGCTCTGCCTTTTTGTAGTGGTAGCAGTGATGTTTTTTCTTCCACCAGAGTTATTTTTTCAGATCTTTGATGGGAGTGGGTAGAGAACAGCAGAAAATTGGCAGGTAGCGTAGTTAGCCCAGGAGCTGTGAGAGGAAAAGGCCTTCCACGGAGTGCATGGAGCCAGGACCCAAGGGGTTGCCACAGTCAGGACCAAGCACACACAGGAGTATTTTTTCCTCTCCTTGATTTCTTTTGACCCCCACAGCTGTCCATGGAAGATGCCGTCCCAGTGCAAGCTGCCTGGGCTGTGCAGCTGACTGGCCCCCTCAATCAAAAGCATGTTCTCCCTGTCAACAGCCTTCCACGTGACGCTGAGGAGACCAGGACCCGTGTCCCACTGTCACAGGCTCAGAGGGACAGGGATGATGTCCCCCAGGGATGATGTGGCACTGTCTCCCAGGCCACACAACCCCCATGGAAAGGAGCACCGTGGACGCTGCAGAACCCAGAACCACAGCAGATACTGCAGAAATGAGACCCAAACAAGGACAAGTAAACAGAAGGGTCACCTGTTCACCATGGTAGGGACCGCAAGCCAGTTACAGCCCTACAGGTTTCTACATCTTACTTCATTCACTCAGCACCAACCCTAATACTCAGCTCCATTTTTAACCAACAATACTGCCAGGCTCGGCAGGTTCAGTAACAGTAATGCAGACAGTCATCTGACATGCCTACCACCACCCACCTGGGCTCTCTGCAATGGGACCGTCACCCTCCCATCTCGCCCAGGGGGAGTGAGGACCCCACCGGCCAGGAACAGGGACGTCTTTGGAGAGCCCTCGCAGGTGTAGGAAAGCACGCAGGATCCTATGAGAGCCAGGAAGCAACATACCCACACCCATTTCTCAGCACACCGCTGAAAGGACTTACACAGCAGAGGATGACAAACCTAGGGGTCAAATGTGGGGAGGAGCTTTCCTCCAGAGGAAAGTGTGAGAACAAACCCAGCTTCGGTCTATTTCTGAGAGGGACGGATGTCGGGAAGACACACCTAGGTGGCGGTTACTTTTCGTACCCACCGGGGCGGGGGGATGTGGGGGGAGAAATGGGCTCCATTTAACAGCTTGTTTTTCCACCAAGATGGGTCTCCAAACCGCAGCGTCGGAGCAGGTTCCGGGGAGGGTGAGCTGCTCGGCTTCCAGAAACTCAGGCCCCACCACCCTCACTTACTGCCCACGCTGAGGCAGCATCAGAGGCCCTGGGCTGGGTGCCATGGGGTGCTCATAGGCAGGACCCACATAAGCCCAGCCACAGAGCATGGAGGGTGACTTCTTGCCACCCTGCCTGTGACCTAGAAGCCGGACAATCAAATGACGGGCGCACAGCTTCTCATGGACACCAGAGAGAGACAACCCTGCTTCAGAGTCCCCATCTCAGGAACACCCACGGGCAGGGCTATGGGAACAACATCACGCTTCATCAGGAACAGAAGCTGTCCTAACAGCTCCCTGAATGCTAGCTGAAAGGAAACAGAAGCCAGCAACATTTAATTCTGTGTGAGCAGAGATGGGACAGGAGTAACACTTCACAATCTGTAAGATCAAGACACTTCTTCCCACCTTGAATGTTAATCAACCAGCCCCCAACATGTGACTGTAGGAACAGCGACCGAGAAGGGACAGTGAACGTAAAGATGCACATTCGACAAGAGCCGTCTACAGCAGCACCTCTTGTCGTCTCGGCAGCATCCAGTTCCCCACCTTCCAAGCTGCAAACAGTACCAGCCTTCCATTGCAGGTGCAGAACCCAGCACCTGAACCTGGAAACACAAGCAGGTCCAGACTCAACCTGAACTCGCCTCCTCCTCACCTTCCCTACACTCCTATCATTCCTAGCAGAGGAGGGTGGACTAGATTACAAAAAAAAAAAAGCAAAAGGGAGCACCCCACCACCAAAAAAATGAGATAGAAGGGTCTAAGACCCATGAATTCCCTAATCCTAATGGCTTGAAAAGACCTCCAACCCTCCTCACCCCACATTGAATAATGTGCCCTCCTACCCCATCCCTACCCCAGAACTTTGGAAGAAGTATTCTTTCAGGGAAAAAAAAAAAAAAAAAAGATAGCAAGGTAAAGAGAGGAAGCTGGTCCCCAGGTGCAGGAGCAGCCAGGATCTTAGAAATTCTGCAGCAGGTGCAGGACTGCAGCGAGGCCTACCTGTGCTGCTCCACAGCCTCGTTGTCAGGAAGCTCAACTCCACACACACTGCACTGCTCGCCCATGCTCCGGCTCTCCGACTTCATGCCCACCGCCAGCTCGCCCAGCTTGCTGAACAGCTCCCTCTGGATGAAGCCCTGCGGCAGTAGCCCCCCATAGGTGCTGAAATCCATGGAGACGGCCAGGGTGGGCTGCACGTGCAGGCCAGAGGTCACCGAAGATGGCATGCTCAACACGGCGTCAGCCTTGTGGTTGGGCAACACTGAGTAGATACCCAGGTGTTTCTCGGTGGGCGGTGGTGCGGAGTGCTCCAGGCGGCCCGGAGGGCCCTGGCCAGCCTCAGCTGGGGGTGGCAGCTGCTCAGCGCTCTCCTCCCGCCCGTAGTGCAGCTCCCTAGCGCTGGTGATGACACTGCTGCGTGTTGGGGTCCCAGGACCCTCTTTGCTTCTTTCCTCTACTTTGTCCCCCAGTCCTCCTGAGACACTGGACTCAACTGGCCCTGGACTGTCCTGGCCGGGGACCTCATCCACCTGCATCATCTCTGTCTTCACCTCGGCCACCGCAGGGTGCCGCCCGGCCAGTGTCGGTTCCTCTGGTCCAGCAGGTGGCTGGAGCGTCCCCTGCAGGAGAGACTGCCCTATGGTCATCAAACTGTCCACGGCAGCTTTGGTGGGACTCATGGCTGAGAGACCAAAGGAGGTGGAAACAGAAGGGCCCTGGCCCACCATAGGCCCAGCAAGGCTCTGTCCAGCCACACTGGCGTACCCACTCTCCTCGCTGGAATGCTTCGAGATGAAGATGTTCTTGAGGTACCGAGCCTTGCGGTCCTCTTCTTCCTCTGCCCCACCATCAGCCATGGTGGCCTCTGTGTCATTGTCATCTGAGGCCTGGATGGTCTCCAAGATTTTCAGGCACTGCTCCTCCAGGTACTCGATCTCCAGGATCTCAGCCGCATACAGCAGGTCATCCAGGTCTTCTGCCTTGGCCTGCAGCGTGGCCGTGTAGGCATACTCCAGAATCTGCTGGAAGGTCTTTGGCGAGAGGAAGTCCAGAGTATAGTGCTGGCTGTTGCGATGGAAGAGGATCTCAAACATCTTGCTGGTGCAGGCCAGCACCGTCCGGTGGGCGTGGAACTCCTGGCTGTCCACCATGATGACAACATCACACAGAGTCCCGGCCAGCCGCATCTGGTTGGCCTTGCACAGCAGCCCAGTGGGGTGGCTGGGGTTTTGCAGCTGGATCATGCCCATCTTTGTCAGATCCATGGCGCTCCCCTCGGCTCAGGCATTAGGCTCCCCTGGCGTCTCTGCTCTGCGTGGCGGGGCACGGTGGATTTCCTGGACGAGTGCAAGGGACTGAAAAACAGAAGCGGGCAGAGGCAAGAAAGATGAGAACCAGAGGCAGACAGACAGCATCTGCAGGAGGCATGGCACTCAGCCTGCTTCGCATCCCCACTCGCACAAGCCCCCAGCAAGAGGAAGCTGCCTAAAGGTCTACAAATCTGCCTTTACAAGCCCAGGGATGATGAAAGTGACAATGTTCTGGCACAGCACGTGCTGCCTCCTCTGCTGAGTGACATCTTGAATGACAGTGAACCATGAATTACAGCGAAGTCCTCTGAACCTGTTCCCAAGCAAGGCCAACATTCACTAGAAGGAGCTGCCCAAGCATCTTTATACAATGAAGGAAGATTTTGAGCCCCTCCTTTAGGCAACTTACATATGCAACTTTGCCCTCAACCTCCAATCGTTTGATCTCTTAACACAAAGCAGTTTTTAAAAACCTTGTCGTACTTGGTAGCCCCAAGAATCAAACACAAATTCTTCTGGGACTTGCAGGCTGCAGTTGTGGGGGCCACAGACAGCCACGGACAAGGGGCTATGCTCGCCTAGCCCATGCTCTCACCAGCCAGTGCCTTCCTAGCTACGTTTCTGCCTGCTTTTCTCCTGATTGCAAAGCACAAGCAGACCCCAGGTCCTGAGACCCTTTCCAGGTTACAGGAACACTCAAGCAATCTGCATCCACTGACTTGTGGGGGGAGGGCCTTCAACCACAGCTGCCTTGAAGTTACTGCACATGGAACCCAAAATTTGGATTCTGTTATGTGTGCATACACATCAACCGGAAAGCTCTAATCCATGTGCCCACACTTGACCCTCCTACCCTCAAGCGCTCAAAAACCTGAAGAATGGGCCATGTGGGTACAAAGAGTAATCACAGGTGGCTGGCTGTTTTCCCGCAGCCAGGAGGGTTCCTGCTTGGCTGGGTGTGGCCTCCAAGGGTGTCCCACAGGAGTTAGCAAGTGGCAACCAGGAGCAGCAACTGATGCTGGCCATGGCTCAGGGGTACTGCAAGTGACAGTGGCAACCAGAGTGGACCTTCTGAGTTACAACCAGCAGGAAAAATAAATAAATAAATAGCCGGCCAGAAGACAACTGGCCTCTCCCAGAATCTGTTGGGGCTCGGCAGCCCATTACAGGAACATCGAGAAGAACTCGCGGGGCCTGGCTCCTCTCAGCCTCTGCCTAGCTATCTGCTGGTGATATTGCAGCGCGACCGACCGCGAGCGCGCAGCCAGCTCTCCCCAAACACGGCTCGCCACCACGCCCAAAAGCAGTCCTACAGGCTCACGAGCCACCAAGCTCCCACAGAAATAAAGGGTTAACAAGACACCTCGTTCCAGACACTTCGGCTGCCCAGCTCCAGTTGGGGACCGTGGCTGTGAGAGTGGGACGCCCGTCCACACGCACCTCGATTCCCTGTGCTTTCTTGCTCGGACACCGAGTTTTCGGTGGAAAGTAGGGGGCAAATGGTAGAATGGAAGCTTTCCCTCTCTCTAAACCAGCCCTGGGAGTTATCCCGGAGACCTGGGGCACCCGTCTCCTCACTCCACGGCTCCGCGCCGGGCCGCGCGACCCAGCCAGCACTGGCTACCGCACGAATCCCGCGGCGCGGGTTAGGGGGAAGCCGGCGCTAACCCGCCGGAGCAGCGGACACCTAGCGCACGCTTTCTTTCTCTCTCAACACTACCAGCTCTCAGAAACCCCCCACCGAGACTTGGAGACTCGGAGTTTGGCAAACTTAAGAAAGCAACTTTTTCTGGGGAGTCATACGCCTGAAAGAAAAGGAGCCGAGCCAGGCAGAGGGAAAGCGAAAGGCGAAGGCAAGTGCGGGCGGGCTGGACACCGCGGCCAGGAGGCGGACCCGGCCCGCTGCGGAGGGGAAGCACAAAAGCCCTACAGCGAAACGGGCGAAGAAAAGCCAGAAAGGGTCTCCAGGCTTCCTCTCGCTCCAACCCCGTCTCCGACCTGAGGACCGTGACCCCCCGGGGAAGCGATGACCAGGGTCCCCGTTTCCGCGCGGGCGGCGCCAGCTGCCAGCGTGCCGGGCCCGGGCAATGTCGCGAGCGTCCGTTCCAAAGAGGCGGCAAGCAAGCCGGGTGTGGAGCGCGTCTGTGTTTCAGTGTCTCTCTGGCTGGCAGGATCGGGCGCGTTTCAGAGGCGTGCGGGAGTGCGTCAAGGACTGCGCGAGCCGGTGCGCCCGCGGAGGGAAAGGCATCCCGCACGCATCAGGTGCAGAGCCCGGGCACCCACCGAGCGCGACAGGGAGCGCACGGAGAGCTCCGGCGCCACGCACCGCTCCTGCCGAAAGCCGAGAAAGGCCCGAAGCGCTGGGGAAAGAGGGACCCTCCAGAGCTTTCTTCTCCCAACCAGTCGCCCAAAAAAGAGGGACGAGTCCAATGAAGAAAAAAAAGAAAGGAAAAGAGCCCACCGGCATTTCCGAAAGAGCAACAAAACGCAAGCATGTCTCTCTCCTGCTCCCCTAGGCGGCCCTGATTCCACTCGCCAGCTCCACTGAGTCCAGCTTCTCAGCCGGCCGGCAAATAAACACACAAATACATAAGCCACAAGCCTCTCTCACACCCGCGCCCCGGTCCGCATACGTATGAACCCCCTCCGGCCCCTCGCTGTAGCAAGCCTCCGGTTCTCCGACCCCCCGCGCCCGCGTCCCCTTGTCCCGGCAGCCCGCAGTGCCTTCCACCTCTCACCCGGACGGTGCCCTGCAGAGGAAAGGCTGAGAAGGCAGCTGCGCCCAAGCTGACAGCCGGGGCTCCCCCTCTACGAGCTGACCCCAGCCAGCGGCGGCTGTGGCGGTGGCGGCTGCAAGCCGCAGGACGGGAACGCGCGGGATAAAATAAGGTACAAGCCCAGGGGCCGAGTGGCCAGAGCAAGCGCGCCCCCACCCCCTCCCGCCCTGACCTCTCCGGCCCCGGGGCGCCCGGGCGCGCGGCACTTGGCGGGGCGCTGCGCCCCTCCCCGGCCCCCCCCCCCCCCCCCCCCCCACACACACACCCCTCAACTCACCGCTGCCGAGCCGGGCTCCGCGGGGTGGGCGTGCGGGCCTGCCGGCTTGGGGTTGAGGGGGGAGAGGGGGGCGTGTGCCTGCCTCGAGGAGGGGTGTTGCTGGGGAACTGTTGCTCTCGGGATCACGGCGGCGGCAGCGGCGGCAGCGCCCGGCAGTTCGCAGTACCCGCTCTCATCGCCCTCAACTCCTCTCTGCCGCGAGGTTAGCAAATCACCACAGGCTGCGGCGCCTCCGCCGCGTCTCACGTCAACGCCGAGCCCCCTCCCCTGCGAGGCCCCGGCGCCTCTCCATCTTTAGTGCTGGCGGCCGAGCGCGGCTCCCTGCCCACAGCTGCCCCCTCCGCCCCCTCCCGCGCTGTCCCCGGGCTCAGCCCGCCCCCCCCCACGCCGGCCCAGCCCGTGCGCGCTCCCCGCCCCCCCCCGCCCTGCCTGCGCCGCGCTCGGCGCCCCGGGCTTCGCCTGACACCTAGCTGCTGCTGGGGCGCCGCGGTCGCCGCGCTCCGGCCCAGCCCAGAGGCCGCCGGAGACGTTGCGGGGGAGGCCGGGAACGCTGCGTGAGGGCACTGGGGTCCAGGGGGCAGCCCCCACCTCACTCCAGTTTTTTTTTTTTTCTCTCTCTCTCTCGCCCATTTTTTTTTCTCTTGCACTGGACACTGGTTCGTTTGCGCCACTCCTAAGCTCCGAGCGCGGAGTTTTGTGTCGGTCTCCAATGTTTTCCCCCCAATTCATTGCGTGCCATCTCGCCTTTCACCTTTTCTCCGGGTTTGAGGCTACCTCTCAGGACCCCCGATTTCAAAGGTCTCTGTCCCTGTTCATGCCCAGGCCTCTGTTGCCCCGCGCATTCTGCGCACCAGCGGGCATGAGGAGTCTTGGGGCGCAGAACCACTGAGCCCTGCTCGACTAGGTTGTCAGGGGAGGTTCCCGAGGAATTGTCTAGAGTGGATCCCCATCTTCGCAGCCGCGGTCGCTGGAGGCTGAAGTTGAGACCGGAGTGAAACTTTTTCTCCCTTGTGGTCTCAGCATCCCTTAGACTCAACCCCTCAACCAGCCAGCGCAGTCTTCGGGGCGGGTGGTGGCTTGGAAACGCTCGGCAACGCCCTAAAAAAGGGCGCCCTCCTCCCCTGGCCCCCTGGCCTTGCGCAGGCACTTCAGATCGCTAACGCCAGGGAGGAGTCGCACCACGGTAGAAAACTGGCCTTCCCCCCTTTTTCCATGGAGCCTGCCAAAGGCAAGTCAGGCAAGAGGTGGGGAGCGTTCTTCCTAACACCGTGGAGGCCTCAAACGAGTCCAAGAGGTTGGAGGATGGGGGTAGCAGAGAGCGCCATCCAGGGGTCTCCGCGCCGTCAGTAACCAGCATCCTGCGGTTGTAGCCGGCCACAGGGCGTCGGCCACTGAATCTGCCGGTTCTCTAGGTACCTAGTAGATGGGTTAAAGGTTTTCCTCACAGAACTCAGACGGAACTACTCTCCATACGTGCCCCCTGGCACTACACCGGACCTAGAGTAAACCCTGGAAAGTGTAAGGTCATGGATGGTGGCAGAAGCCGATCAGAGGCAGAAAAGGAAAGAGCAGCTGGGCAGTGTGCATATGCGAACTGAGAGGCTGCACCAAGGTGCTAAGAGACAGGGCACTCCATCCAGTCCAGCAAGCCTGGCCCCTGGCTCCTATTTGCAGGTAAACCAGCAGGTGTTTGAGGCAGGAGAAAGGATTTTTCACTTAGCAGCGAAAGAAAAGCTTCTGCTATCCTGAACAGCGGGGTATGCAACAATGGCCAACTCCTGCCCCTCACTGCCTCATTCATTTCCTCAACGCGGAAAAGCAACCGTTACCTACTTCGAGCCTTCCTGTTTTCCTAGCCAAAGCCTACAGCCCTCTGGAAAAGGAAGGGGGCTTAAAGTCAAGAGGGAACTGAGATGCAAGGAGCTCATGAGTGGAGAGAATGGAAGGAGAGGAGAAAACACACCCACTAGATCCTCCCAGAGAGCCATCATTCACCTGTTGGATTTCTGCCTAGCTGGTGCTGACTGGAGCTTGCTGCCCAGCTGTCCACAACTACCCACTAGTATCTCCCAGTACAGTGGCAGAAAACACCCAATTAACCCCAGATCCTAATCTCCTATTAATCCTCAAATCAGAGCAAGAGAGAAATCTCTGAAAACAATGGAAGAGAAAGAACCTTCCCTCCATGGCCCCAAGCCTCCCACCCCCATGCCAGTCACTCTACATGAAAATCTCCCTTGCTTCATAAACTCTGCCCATTAAAAAGCCCAGCCCTTGTTAGGAAGTGTTAAAGAGAGATTAATGCCTGAATTTAAGAGGTGGAGAAGGTAACAAAAAGGGAAGAAGGCAGGCGAGGCAGTGGGCTGGGTGCCAGCGTTGGGCTCCAAGCGTTTCCACTTAGCACAGAAGGCTGGCTGCAAGGCAGTTTGATAAGGTTTATTGGGTCCAGATAAAGCAGCAGTCACAGCTCCGCCACCAAAACTGGCACCATTTATAGCCACAACGATGTCCTTGCGTCCTGGGAAAGCTGATGAGAATCCCCAGTTCAGAGATTTCATGTGGCAGTACCTAAAAACAAACAGGATGGAAAATTGCAGGAGAAAACACACACACTCTCTCTTTTTTTCTCTCTTTGTCTCTGCCTGTGAATTTCATGCTTTGGCAGTGATTTTGTTGTTGTTGCATGTCTTCTTGAAGGTTGCAAGTGAGGGGAACCTGGGACAACAGCACTTGGAAAATACAAGACCTCTGTGATAGGGAAGGTCATGGTGGAGACGGGCAAGGAGAAGCTGGACCTTTGATGAAATCACATTGCTGAATCTTCTTACTGCATGCCTTCCCCTGTACTCACGCATCTCCCACCTAGCAGAGGTCAGTTCATGGACAGGGAGGGTATACAGAGCCTCAAGGACCATGGAGAAAAAAGACAGTAGGAATACTCATTTGGCATCTTAACATGAATTACATTGCCTGTGTTGCCTTATTAATCATTACAGCCCTCATGCCTGGCGCAGTGGCCTAGCGGCTAAAATCCTCGCCTTGAACATGCCAGGATCCCATATGGGTGCCGGTTCTAAGCCTGGCAGCCCTGCTTCCCATCCAGCTCTCTGCTTGTGTCCTGGGAAAGCAGTGGAGGACGGCCCAAAGCCGTGGGACCCTGCACCCGTGTGCAGTCACATGGACTGAAGATCTTCCTCCCTGTCTCTCCTCCACTCTGTATATCTGCCTTTCCAATAAAAATAAAATAAATCTTTTAAAAACAATCATTGCAGCCCTCTTCATTCAGATACCATTTACTTCTGTGTCTCAGCAGAGAAGACTGTGAGGGTCAAAGAGGTTATATTCCTTACCCAGCAGGTAGGTCGCAGCATCACAGCTGAGACTTGGGGTGAGACCACTCTGACTGCCAAGTTTCTGTGACACAGGTAGCCTCTACTGAGCTACACCAAAGAGACAAGGACTCTCCATTTTCCACTCCACTGGGACAGGCTCTGTGCGGCAGCAACCCATGCTGAGGACGGACCAAAAGTTCTCTTCTCTGCCACTAAGTAAATAGGCTTGAATCATTGTTCTTTGTCTCCTTCATTAACATGAAGGTTTCCCATCACAATAAAATGTTAACTGATACCCAAGGACAATGGTTTTCTGAGTGTCTTGATGGTCAATGGAATGTTGCAACTCTTTTTGGGTGGGCTCTTCATTTGAAGAATAAGTTTAAAAAAAATTCTTAAGCATTGATTTGCTTTTAGCTGAAATGAAAATCGACAGACAGAGAGACAGAGAGAAAGAGGAATCTTCCATCTGCTTGCTCAGTCTCCAACTGGCCACAGTGACAGAGTTTGGTCAGTCTATAGCCAGGAGCCTGGAGCTTCTTCCAGGTACCCCAAGTGGGTGCAGGGACTCCAGCACTTAAGACACCTTTTGTTGCTTTCCCAGATGCATTAGCTGCGAGCTGCATAGAAACTGGAGCAACCAAAACTTGGACTGGGATCCAAATGTGTTCCTGGCATTATAGGGAGAGAAGCTTAACCTTTTATGCCATGGTGCCAGCCCCAGAAAATATATGGCTAAAGTCCTTGCCTTGTGTGCTGGCATCCCATATGGGCACCAGTTTGTGTCGCAGTGGCCTTGGCTACCCTGCCTCCCATCCAGCTCCCTGCTTGTGGCTTGGAAAAACAATCGATGACAGCCCAAAGCTTTGGGACCCTGAATCCACAGAGGAGACCTGGAAGAACCTCCTGGCTTCTGGGCTCGGATCAGCTCAGCTCTATCCATTGTGGCCACTTAGGGAGTGAATCGGCAGATGGAAGATCTTCCTCTCTATACATTTAAGTTTCCAATCAAAATAAATAAATCTTTAAAAAAATATGAAAGTCAATTTTCTTATCTTGGTAAGTGAATTGAAGGTCTAAACCCACTGAGGAGAAGAAATTGTTTTACATATTCCCTGAGCATTGAGATCACTGGAGAGTGAAACCTACTTGGGGAAGGTGGTAGGCAGCTCCTGAATACAACAAAACACTCGGATTACTCTGAGTGCCATTGGCAAAATAGGTAAGGCTAGTTCCACTTACTCTAAAATCTTTGCTGTGCAAGCTTAGAGGAAGATAAAGCTAACCATATGTCCCTTTCCAGTGGCCAAGGATCCTGCCATCCTTCAGGTCATCATTTCCAACACTTGCTACAATGTCAACACTCAGGCAGGGCTGGAATAAGCATTTGGTCTGTGGGTAAGACTGCTTAGGATCCCTACATCTCTTGTCCAGGCACTTGGGTTCCAGTCGCAAGGCTGTTATCAATGATGACTTACTGCTGAGGCAAACCCCCGGGAAGCAGCAAATGATAGTTTAGCAGTTGAGTTCCTGTCACCCACATGCAAAACTTAGATTAAGTTCCCAGCTTCTGGCATCAGTCAGACCTAATCCTAATTGTAGCAGCCATTTAAGGGAAGTGAACCAGCAAAACCCAAGACTGATATCTGTACCATCTCCCCCTCCCCTCCCTGTTTCTCTCTCCCCATCATTGTGCCTTTCACATAAACAAAATTTTAAGATACATAGGCAAAATAGCAT